ACAGATTACATCGGAATGAAAAGATTCATAATTAATAAAAGCAGCACAATAGCGGCAGAAGTTGAGGCACTCACCGCCACGCAGGTGAAAACTTTAGAAGCTGAAAGGGACAAGCACGAAATGAACAAGATTTCCATCCAAAGTATTCGTGATTTCGCTCAGCAGCTCACAGACACCGGTTCTGACATCGAGGTCATGACCCACTCTAAAAAACTTCTAACTAGAATCCAGGAGTTACAGACAGTAGAACCTGCCTTTGATACCAAGATTACAGACATAACATTTACACCAGGGAATACAGCAATGGACGTTGTGCTACAGTTTCCTAATATCCCTGAACCACGGCCGCTGTCCATCAAAACGGGGTCCATTACAGCCAAAACATACCGCGGTCCATTGGATGCACATTTTGGAAGTTTGAAACAAGAGAGAACATACTATCCCGAGCTGATGAAATTTCAGAAAGTCGCATGGCCTCATGTGCCAGAGCGGTATGTTTGTTTTAATGTTCAGGGTTTGTTGTTGGATATCCAGTGCACAGATGGCGGTTGTCTTTTAGTTTTACACAGTGACCTAACCGGGTGCACAACAGTGTCAGCATTCTCCAGCACAGGTCAATGTAATCGTGAGATCAGTATAGTGGGAGGGGTAAGGTGTATTACTACAATCAGTAACGATAGATCCGTGGTCACATGCATGGATGAATGCTGTAGACTGTATTCAGCATCAGATCAGGTTATCCGATGTTTTGCTCAGGGTGATTTGTCTGACCCCTGGGGTGTCACTGTGGACCGTACAGAGGGTAAGGTGTACGTGTGTGATATTGGTGCACAGTGCATCTTTGTATACGACATAAAATCATTTCATTTGGTTAACAAAACTCCTGTCCCAATGTGCAGTAAAGGCACACTGCGCTGTGCGTACCACCATGGCATCAATGCAATTTTAGTCAGCGACTTCAGTGCCCACTGTGTGTATGCAGTGACACCCCAGGGTGACGTCATGTTCCAATACGGAACACGAGGTCAGAGTGGAAGTGAAGACGGACAACTGAGTAATCCACGAGGAGTGTGCGTAGATAAGTTTGGACACATATTCATAGCTGACAGTGGTAATCACAGGGTGGTTGTCATTGGTTTAGACGGAAGATTTCTACATAACATTTTGACAAAGAGTGACAACATAAGATTTCCTGCGTCAGTTGATGTCAACAGTAACGGGGAGCTTGTTGTTGGAACTTTGGGAGGTTCAATATCGACGTATAAGTGTATTGACTAAAAATCATATATGGTTTGACACTATCAAGATGTTTGAATTGTAATTAATATCACCGAGGAAAATGTAATGGACGTGCCTTACTATGTTTGTTGTGTAGAGATATTGAAATTGTACCAAAGTAAAAAATATGAAGACGTATGATATAATCAGTTTGATCACTTAAATTAAGCACCTATGTTCTTTGCATACTAACATGTATTTTTTTATTAGCAGATACTTCTTTCATGAATAGAATTTAGCTGTTCACCCTGGACTTCATTTTGGCCTAAATATGAATATAGTTCATCTCCTCAAATTTATTTTTTATTTTATGTGAAAAGTTGTAAAGGTAGGTGTTTATAGTATGTATAAAAAGTGATACAGATGTGATTTTGCTGGTTGCAATAAACAACTTCATGTTTTAGAACTAAAATTAAGTGACTCCTAATGATGTTAACTGCTTTGTTTTTATTATTTTATTTTTATTTATTTATGTAATTAATTATTTATTTATCTATTTATTTAGTGGTTTTGCACTGAGGTTCAGTTTTGCAACATGTAGATAAGCGCGGTTGGGAGCAGAACATCTTTTTTCAGTAGTCTTTGCAGATTTAATATTGAATGTGGAGTCGCTCCGGGCATTATTAAACAAATAATGCACAGTTTTTAGCGGACTACGAAGAATATAGTGCCCAGTGGGGAGGAATTAGCAGATCCCCATACCCCCGCGCTTCGTGGACTGTGCTCTAATATTTCAATATGTACAGGACTACCAGGNATGTAGATAAGCGCGGTTGGGAGCAGAACATCTTTTTTCAGTAGTCTTTGCAGATTTAATATTGAATGTGGAGTCGCTCCGGGCATTATCAAACAAATAATGCACAGTTCTTTAGCGGACTACGAAGAATATAGTGCCCAGTGGGGAGGAATTAGCAGATCCCCATACCCCCGCGCTTCGTGGACTGTGCTCTAATATTTCAATATGTACAGGACTACCAGGACCCCAAGGGGGGGGGGGGGCGTGAAATGGGGGGCATGCTTTTTGAAAAAGAAAAACATTTGAAATGAAACAAGCAGAGGAGTAGTCTGGCTTACTTCTACCGAACGCAGTTTACTTGCAGTAAAACGTGGTACATGTACTTATAATAACAGTGTAAGCTACTGACTCCACTTCATTCAACTTATTGGATAAGCTACATTTATTGACGGTATGTATTCCCTTTATCTTTCATATCTCAGGAATATAGCATTTCGTTAAAAATAAAAACATGTAGATGTATAACGGCAAGGGGATTCCCCTAACGTCCTGTTCTTATGACTAAAGTGGCTGAAAATAATTGTGGTAAGCCCTTTAGTGCTTTCCTACGTCCACTACGCACGTGTAGGCTAATACATGTAGAATGATAAGCGAAACTCACACCCGCCCATGAATGTAGGAGGCTATGAAAAAAGAAATGTTTTAATAAATCTCCATTTTACATATGTATGTATGTATGTATGTATATATCACAATAATGACCAAAGACAGGAAAGATCACATGGATTTAAATCGCTGATGTCTTCACTGAGAAGTATATATACAATATGAGGACTAGTAAAATGGATCGCAAAATATGTTTACTATGTAAAATAATGATTAAAGGTGATATGAAATGAAATAAATACATGTAGCTGATAATTAATTTTTCACTAAGAGAAATTCGGACCACAGTAGAAAGAATCGTCCAATAATTTTAGTATGACTTTTCAGAAACTAAAAACTTTACAGTTATATATATATATATATATATATATATATATATATATATATATATATATATATATATATATATATATATATATATATACTCTCACTTCACTTAATGAATTCATGATTTTATTGACGGGACCAGGGAGACTTCCCAAGAAGATAGATCAATCCAAATGTCTGTGGGAATTACAAAGGAGTCGCAGGACCTTCGATCTCAGGTCTAGGAGCTTTGCTGTTAGGTCTTAGATCAAATGGAAACTTTCTACCTTGTCAGGCAGAGGGCCAGTTTGGCTGTACATGTTTACATATGCAATTATAAACGATAGCCTGGGTGCCGTACAGATGTATTTCATCTCTCGCAGCGCCAGTCCTCGAACATGGTCTTATCATCATAATTAAAGTTCACCATGTACACGAGGCCTTGTTTGAGAGGCCGACGCGGAGCGTTCATAGATAGTTTATTTTCTTGACTTCGCTTTGTGCTGAGAATTAGTTTGGTTGCACGTATGACGTTAAGGAGCACAATGGGACCAAAGGCCGCCCATGCACACAGGGACGGTTTTGGTTTAATAAATCAGCTAGTTAAAACCCTAATTTCAAGAGGGGAATATTAGTGTGATTTTTTTTCAGAAACAGAAGGGACCCCCCCCCCTGACCCCCCTCTAAATCCGTGCTACACCTTATCACCTACTATTTGTACCAACTGCTCTACTGACCAATCACGTGGTAATAACTCACTATTACTCTGTCCATACTAAACACCCGAAATCAAGTAACACGTGACATGGTGCCTACAATAAATACATTTGGCTTACACCCTCACCACCAGTCTCGGGGAATTGATCTGGAGTGCAAGGCTTTATCTTTGCTACACATCACGTTTGGCTCACACCTTTCCTTCTGAACCGCGACCGGCGAGTGCATTGTTCTCACACTGGTACTAACCCACCCGTAAGAGGAAAGAAAGCACTCGCCATTTCGTTATGTTCAAATGTCAAGTTTTATTCCTCTGCATTTGTCTTCATTTTGGCAGAGGACGAAATACTCCGTCAAGTAACCAAGTTCCGTTTCCCAAACTTCTCGGGTTACTGAAGGTACAGGTTCAAATCGAGAAAGCCAGTGATGTTCTCCACAAGGAATGTCCAACACTGTTCCAGCGTCAGGCCTTCCCAACTACCAGACTAGGCACCTACGGGTCCAGTATAAACCGGTTTATCTGACCACACTACCCGTTTTCAAGGTGTGTGTCAGATCGCATAAAAGAGTATCAGCCACCACACCGATTTTACCTGGTGCGCGATGTGATGGCGATGATCGTAAGCGGGATTGGAAAGTAGTGCATCTCATCTAGATTCATGCGCTGCTGCAATTTTCCCTGTTTATGCTAAGAATCTGACAATACCGCCATTTTTGAACATAAAATTTAAATTCGAATATAGCCAATGATGTTTTGTAAATAAGAACTTGAAAACTAATATATTAGTTTAGAAAAGTAGACCTAATTTTGATAGCGGAAGCATATTCTGTCGGGGGTTAAATATTTTCTCGGCTAGCGGGATGGACGAAGGAGACGAAGCTACAAGCTACTGTTGGTACAAGAGCTACACGCTACTGTTGCTACAAGATGAAGGTAATTTACCATTTCAATAATAGTTTGTGTATTTAATTTATGAAATACTCCCTGTGTTCAGTGTGCAGGTCAGTGTGGGGTTTCCAGATGTTCAGTAAAGATGGCTTACACTAAGTTACAGTAGAACACGTGTTTGTGTCGTTCTATTTCATTCTGCAGAAATACTTGACAAGTAACCTTGGTCAGTACTGTACACCCTGCTTATGAAACAAGATGCAACTGGCTGTTCTCAACATCCGTGCAACATCAAATTATTTTATAGTGATAAGTGAATAAGGTGTAGTGCAAGGCTTAAACTAAGTAGTTCCGATATTTATGCTCGTTGCTTGCGTCCTTGTGTCTGTTTTCAGAAAACGTATTTTCACTTGCTCATTAGCAGGAATATTCATGCGTTAGCACTCCTATTGACGATTCTGATAGCACAGACAGTACATATCAGAATCATCAATAGGAGTGCTAACGCATGAATTCTCGCGCTTATCGTCGCATGTGTATCGTTTACTTATGCCATGGTGGTCAACTCTGTTTTCCTATCTAATTCTAGTTAATGACCACTTGGGAAATGTAGACCATCTTGGCCTGACTCGCCCACGGTGCACGGCCGTAGACACTCAGGGCCCAACAGACAATGGAACAAAAACAGGTAAAGACTGTTTTCATGTTATTTATTTATTTATTTATTTTTAGTTTTGGGATTTATTATATTTTAAGCCTCACAAAGCCTTAGAGCTAGCTAGGTTACTTTTCACATGGAAATGTTGGGAAGACTTCTGACTTTTGGCAAGTGTAATAAATAGTTGGTAATTACTGAATAGCTGGAAGGGAGGCACAGGGGGTAACCCAGCTAGAGAGATGGGCTATTTTAATTACAAGGTTGACACTTTACTTTACACTATTGTCTTTTGACACCTGGTCTATCACTTCATCTAACCGTGCAAGGTAAGGAAAAAAGAATAGAAGACAGGCCAAATGCATCATTCACACTTTTCTCAGTTAACTATCATTTACAGGTGTGTTGTTCTTTTCCCTGTTATTGTTCACAAAATAGTTCCACACCTCCCCAAAGAAAAGAATAATCTTAATAAACTCTATGGTGCTATGATAAATTGCATTAAATTTCCAAAAACTGAGACTTTTTAAACCACAGGTAATCCTTTTTTAAATATTATCACTTCAGGTGCAGGAGATCTTGAAAATGGGAACATTCCTATTGAGTTTGAAAATGAGGAAAAGGAAGAGACAATGAAAGGTTTGTAAATAATATGTTTGAAGTATAACATGTTAAACATATATTATCGTTCAAAATGCCATGTATTTCTTGCATCTACATGTGAGGTCCACTTAATGCTACATATTTAGAGGATTTTCTTACTGATTTTGAAGTGATGTATTACATCTTACAGGGCATCAAGTTCCTATTCTTTCCAATATTTTAAAGATCTTCCTATTACCTTCCAATTTTCTAGGGAAAACTCCTATTTTTCCTATTTTTTGGTCTACGACAAAAAAGATGTCTCGTAAAAAATGTTTGAAAAATGTTTATAACAGTCAACATTGTGTAGACTACATAAACACAATATATGACGGCAATTTTAAAATTATTGAACAGAACTGAATAAAGGCCATGTCACAGCATTAAGCACTTGTATATAAGAAAAAATGATTCATACGCTGACAAGCATTGGTCATGTTCATTTAAGAGGGGGATAAATATTTTGGGCATGTCAAAATATTCCAGATGCTGCTTTTTTTTTAATATCCTGGAAATGATGATTACATACAGTTTTGTATGTAATTGATCACATTCATACAGTACTTACATATATGTATGTATTTATGCTAGGTGTGACAGAGCCTTTAGTATTTTATGCTGTTATTTGTACATTTGTTAGATACATTTTTGTTGTTACTCTAAATAGTGTTATTTACTACAATTTAAGAATGTGTATTAGACTGGTATGGCTTTAGAGGTGTTGGGAAGCCATCATTCTTTTAGAATAATTCCTATTTTTCCTATACTTTGTCGATAAAATTCCTATTTTTTAAATTTTTTCCCCTATTTTCTGAAGGTCCCTGAAGTAACTTGACGCCCTGATCTTATCTTTACTATCAGATATATTTAATGGTCATAGAATTTGATGGAAATAAATTATTTGGAAGATGCCACGGTTAAATTTAGTAAAGTTTTGAACTAAGTGACAAAATATACATAACCATTATTCTCTTTTCTTGTTAACCCTCAAGAGACCGAGCTATTTTACTGACTGAAATGACCAAGTGGGGTCATCTATGACCCCATTGTGCTCTGTACAGGGATCCTTATTATAAAAGGCTGTTTAGGGTTTATCACACCTATGCTACTCCCAGGATTTAAGACAAGTATTTTATAATGACCTAATGTAATAAGTATTTTGTAATAATACTTTTATTGCATGAAATAACCAAGCACAGATTTTAAGAGCAACATTACATCGGTATTTAGACAGTCCTTGTCAGTTTCCACTTGCAGAAATATTTCTCTTTTTATTTGCCACACTAAATGAAAAAAGTACATTACAAAATTACTTTGAATAAAAATATTTTGACTTATGTTGAGATAGCATCCTGCTAACTTCAATAAGAATAATTAGCCGACTTGCTGAGTAGGAATACCCTAAGCTGGTAAGGAAGTCATACTACTCAGAACACAATCAATCTACATGTATGTTACTACCACATGTGTGTATAAAACAAAATTTACACAAAGAAATTGTTAATATATGTATAATATGATATCGACAGAATTTTTTTAGATTTCCGAAATACCCGAAAAATGTAACCGTCAAAATGAGAGACCCAGTTATGAGAACAAGTTCCAACAAAGCTACTGAAATTAGATTCAGCGATGCACTATTAGTAACACTTCAAGCATATAATCTTCACAAACCACTTATTTGTGTCTATGTTTTGGGCACACTGGTTGGTTGCATGAAGCACATGCTTGTGACATTTTCCTGTCAGTGTTGCGTGGGCAAAACATTTGAATAAAATTTAAAAACTAATATTTGAAAACCAGTGCTTCTCTTTGGGGTCATAAATGACCCCACAAGAGTTTGTGATGTAAACGCCACACTAATTGGTTGATCCCTTCAAAAAGCTGTGCAAGTGTGTAGGATTAGTAGACTGACAAATTCATGCAAGGAAAGAAAAATCGAATAAAAAATAAAGAGATGGCACATTTAATCATGTGGCTGGGGTCGTAAATGACCCCACTCGGTCACTTGAGGGTTAAAAGCACCAAAAGTGATATATGGTACTACATTTGTCTTTTCAGAGCTATTTCTATGCACAGATTGTGATAAGCAATATTTCTCAAAGAATGCCTTAAAGAGACACTCAATGGTTCACAGTGGAAAGTACCATTCATGGTGCACAGAATGCAGCGCTGGGTTTGTCTCCAGATACCACTTAGAGGATCACTTGCGCCAAATGCATGGCAGCCTTAAACTTGTTTGTTTCTTGTGCAATAAGAAGATGGCATCAAGGCAAGGGATGCAGAGGCATGTTAAAGCTCACCATGGGGACAGAGTTCAATGTGACATTTGCAAAAAGTCATACCCTGAGGGCAGGATTAAGGAGCATAAAGTGAGAGCTCACTCCAAGTTGAACCATTGCACAGAATGCTCACTTTCATTTGGCACCCCTAGCTGTATGAAATCACACATGGTTGTGCATGGAAGTCGAAATTTTAAATGTGCAGAGTGCACATTTTGTACTAAACATAAGTACTCGCTGAATCGTCATATGCAGAGGCACAAGCCAGTGGACAAACATTTGTGCACAAAGTGTGGGAAGAGTTTTCGTAGGAAGGACTATCTAGTATGTCATGAGAAAGATTGCAAGGGGTATATTCAGGAACTTTGGGGGGTGGATACAATTAAATTAGAATAAGACTGTTCACATGAAAAATCTATTTTCTATTCTTGTGATCACTTCGAGTGCAGCGGAGAATTAATAAAGCTTTAAAAGTAACTGGCCCGCGCTGCCAGTAATTACGTCGCGAGGTATTCAGGGCCCAGGCCGTGATCGCAAGATAACGCGAATAGAAAATAGATTTAAAAAAAAAAGACTTTCCATGTGAAGAAGCCTAAGTAGCCTTTTAAATATTAATATGTTTTAATATGTATTTGGTGTCAGTTTATTTCTATGGGTATTGTGCAAGAGTCACGAAGTTTTCAATTTCATTATATTGTGCAAGAGTCACGAAGTTTTCAATTTCATTATTTGGTGCCATTTTTTATTTGAATAGTTTTAATCATGTAAAACAGCAATGTTATTGTGTTATCTAGACATTTTGAATCTTTTTATTTTTGAAACGGAATTTATGGTGCTGTGATCATGTTTGGAAAAACATTTTTGAATAAATTTTGCTTTTCATGTTTATGATCAGAGTTTGTGTGGATGAATTTTATCACCTTACTACAATAAAATGTGTAAACCTTCACTGATCCAGAGCATTTACAAAATCTGAATAAACAAAAATTTGGTAGAAAGAAAATTTTTTTACATCTCACAGGAACACTTTACAAAAAAATGTCACATTCAACTAGAACAAAATATACATATTTATTTCTTCCTTGATGATGCCCTCAACAGAATTGTAAATAATATATTTATTTACAGTTTTCCTGATAGCTTTTGCTTTAATTGTACATACCACAGGAGAACATGAGGCAAGAAAAAACATTGTTAAGAACTCGTCTTCTGTAAATACTGATTGAACAGACTGCATAAAAGCACTTGCTTTGAGGTAACGAAACCATTGAATTCACTCATTTAAATTCATCAAACTTTACATTGCACCCAAATTGGCAATTATGGGATGATCCTCCTTAAATAGTGTAAGAAAAGGTAAAACAAAAAAGTCATCAGAAATACTATACTGATGCTGCTTTAACAATTTAGTCTGTTATTTTACTAAATACAGGTGCCCCGTATATATTTAAAAAAAAAAAAACAAAAGTGGTTTGGCAGGTAAAGGGTAAGCAATATGTGCCAGTACAGAAACATTGATCACAGAAAATATACATATATGTGCAAGTTCCTCAGTCATGATTAATTTGTTATATTCTGCAGAGTTGCATTGCTAGAAAGGCCCAACCGAATGAGAGGATTAAGTTGTCCTTCATTTATCTTGTGATAAGAACGCACACCTGAAACTCCTCTCCCTGGTTCATGAAGATCGGAGATTCCACAAATCTTGCGTGGTGCCCTCCTTCGCCTGTTTTTAGAATCAAATGGATGATCCTGAAAAATCCAAATTAATGTCTCCAAGTAACATATGGTATATGGAGAGACCTTGCAATTTGTGTTGTAACCTTTTATCACATTATTAACCAAAAAAAAAAAAAAAAAAAAAAAAAAAAAAATCAACTAAACTTTCAAATTACTTTGACGTGCACACTTGCATTATAATTAGTTTGAGAGCACCGCAATACAATCCAAATTACAAGTCGTAAAAAGTATACCTTCACTTCCACACTTTGTATATACACTGGAACCTCCTTCGGGCAGGGCAATTCCCCAACATCCTCTGCCAACTTCTTTTCAGAGTAAACAGGAGCTGCAGAGAGCCGTACAGGAAAGTTCCTGTGATTTTAAAAATAAACATCACTTTTGAAATTACATAATATACTTCCAAATTGAATGTAAAATAAATATGCCCCTACCCAGCTTTAAAAAGAAAAGATTTACTTTGTATATCTACAATGATTATTCCAAGTAAGCCTTTGAAAAGTGCAATTTGGAATCAAAAATAAATAATAAATAAATAAATTTTTTTTAATGACTGAACAGCACAAAAAGTACCTCTCAGAATCCAAGCGAATAATTGACTCTCCAATTACTTTCCCCATATCTGTCTGTAAGCTTACACAGCTTGGTGCACCATTGTGGGCAGAAGGAAGAGTGGCAAGACTAGAGAAGAGACCCTCACATGGCTGGCTGCTCACTGATCTCTGGTTATACGTTCCCCTTCTGGATAGTGCATACAGAAGTATATCTGAATCGACAGCAGCTAAAGTAGCCTCCCATAGTACTTTAGGATAGCCTTCAACATGGGATCCCATGGGTGGAAACTTAAATACACTCCCAAATTCTTCCAGTATCTGGCGATATCTGTAATCATAATAACAATTATAAGATGAATTAGGTAACTGAAGTAATAAACAGTGTAAGCAGCCATTTGATGTCCTGGATCTAATTCATAAAATGATGTTAAATCAGTTAAAAAAACTTAATATAAATTTTATAATGAATTAATGTTGCATATAATTTTACAGGGTGACTGAAAAAAGATCATACCTTAGTTTCATTTCACATCTGGTTAATGCTGGTATTGCTGGGTCATCACATGCCCTGAACCAATCCATAATCTGAAATCATACAAATCAACAGATCATGGTAAATCATCCTTTGATAATGTCAGGATAAGTTAATATAAATAATTTATAAAGATAAAAACAAATAAAAGAAAATAAATACCATAATTGTATTTATAACAACAAATCAAAAATGTTCAATATCATTTAGATGATGATTCACAGCCATTTAAAACCTACCCTTTGGCACATGAATGCACTGCTGAAGTACCCTTTTTTCTCTAATTCCTCCTGTACATCTTCCCCAAATGTCAATAATGCCAGGTCAGTGCTTTGCATATTTAAGTTGTCCTCCAACATGCCAACTTTCAGCTGTGTTGTCATGTCTGCTGCCACCTCCATCAAATGTGCTCTTTCAGCATATCCAAGACAAGCAGAGCGGTTCATTGCTGATCTTGTTCTGGTCAATAAATGGGTGGAGTCAATTCTACGCAATTCCAGCTGATCTCTGCTGGCACTATACTGGGGTGAATATGACCACTGCAGTGGAAAGTATTTTTCCAGGCCTGGAATGACCATATCATGATTAAAGGGAAGGTTCTTATTCCATTGGGAAACCTTTTGTGGAAACCTCCATTCTGCATAACTGACATTCAGGTAGGATTTAGCGTATTTCTTTCCAGTGAGCTGTTTAGTGGCAAGAGACAGGAGGGAGGGTGGATTCTTCTTCCTGGTGGCCAAAAAGCTGCCTGGAATGTTCAACACTTGTGCAATAGCTTCGACAATGACTTGTTTCTTGGGCTTTGAGATAACAATATTCAGAGCTTTACAGACTGTTTGAAGTTCTGGGATAGTTAACTTCTGCAATAAAGACACATGTGAAAAGAACTGCAGAATAGTGCTGTCAAGAGTGCTCTGATGCTTTGCATGTGACTGGAGAGCCATGGCAGCCAACATCATCTTATTATCTTCACAACCAGGAGTATCATCTTCACGCTGGTGCTGATCTGATCCAACATTGTCTGTTGCTAGCCTGCTGATCAGCATATCCATGGGATCAGTTGCAGCCTCTTCTTCCGTCTCCGGCCCACAACCAAAAGCAGTCTTTGGCAACTTTATCCCTTCTAGCAGAGCAACAGTAAACCTCGCGCCTTCCCTGGTCACACTGTACTGATCTGGACCCGTCTGCTCTTTGAAATCTCTAATGATGCTGGCCTTAGAAAGAGATTTTACCTCATGCCAGAAGTCTTTCTGCAACTGGACAAGGGTCATGGGATGGTTGTTTTCATCTCTATTTAATAATTTCATAAAAGCACCATCGAAAGAAACGATGGGAACATGCAGCCCTTCTTGATGTAGTTTGTCTAAAGTGTCTTCCATAATGTTACGCATTATGTCCATGGGTAAGCTGTACCCCTTCAGGAAGTAGTTTATGGGGACACCGAGAATTCTGTCTTGTTTGTTCATACGGTCCAAATCTGAGATCACTAGGGCAACCATCTCAGTTGCCTTTTGGCACAAGAGTTCATAGGCTTTGCGTAAATGAGTGTCCCCAACTTCCAAAGCTGACTGTTTTGAGGCAACAAACTCAGGTGTTGAAACGAAGTTTTCTCTGGCCCTGCAATGCACTTCAACAAAAGGGAATGCAGTGGTCATTTCTGTCAGCACAGTGTTTGCTTTGTCACAAACATGGACAGAGCGAACTTCGGCAAGGAGGGAGCAGTTGGACTTTATGTTGGTTTTTATAGTCCTGAAAAGTTGCTTGCCATTTTCAGTTCTGCTTGCTGGCCTTGATCCTGGGGTTGAATAAATAGACTGAATTTCATGGACAGCCATGGACCAAACAGGTAAATCAAAACGGACAAGAAATAACCTTGTAAATGAGTCCTCAAACGACACAAACAAACACTGTTCAGTCCCCAATGCAACCATTTCTGCCATCACCTGAAGATAATATCTGGCTGGAATAAATTCATGTAGCTGTTTGCGGAAATAAGGGCATTTAATCTCAACAGCCGCCTGGGGTTTACCATCCTCAGTGAGACACCCATCAGGAGAAACAACAACAGGTACACCTTCAAGATCTAGTGGAAAACCTCCAACTTCAACAAACTTCCAGTTTGGGTGGTACACAGGAAGAAAGTTCCTACAAACTGTTGTGACAGCACACATCTCGTGCTTTACACCATGTGCCATGGCTTCTTTCACCTCTGGTGATTTCTCAGCTTCTGTGTGCCCTTCAAATACTTGTGCAAATATTTCCCTTTGGCGTTTCAATGTGTCACCACCAAGGGCTTCATAGAGTCTGGATCCAGTTAAAGTTGCCTTTTCTCGGGCAAAAAACCAATACGAACTTCTCTGCTTGATATAAGGGAGTCCCATTTTCTCAATGCTTTTCTTTGCTTCTTCTGAGGACAATTTGTCGATGTCAATCAGCTGTTGAAGATTGCATAGGTGATTCTCCTCAGCTGGACTGTGTAGATGCTGGAAACCATTCATAGAAGAGACAGTACTAGATAACAGATCAACTACTTCAACATTCGTTCTCAGTGCCTCATTGATTTCCACAATATTTGCAGTCAACATGCTGATAACATATGAGTAACGTGAGGAACGATAATCTGGTCCAGCTTCACTCTGCAACTTGCCTAGAGTAAACTTTTTCTTTTCAAGCATTGCAGCCAGTTCCAGTCGCCTGATACACACATTGGTGATAATATCTTGTACTGTAGATGTGAACATCATCTGACTGAATGGGCTGCCACACCGAGGCAGGAGGTCAATTGCTGTCTGCAGGTGCAGAAGCTCAGATGCATGACGCTGCTGCTTAGAAGCCAGGGATCCATCTGGCTCATGTCCAAGAAGATCAACATCCCCAAAGTCCCCCTTGAGACCAGGGGCCACCTTTTTTCCATCCAGGGACAGGCAAAGACTTGCTCCTTTGGCACATGCTGCAACTTGTTTCACCACTGCATGGCACAGTCCAGGCGCGATCTTTTCTGGCCATTCACACCCATCTGGTTGATAATTTTGCAAGACATCTGCTTTGGGAATGGCAAGAACTGTTTCTTCACCATTTGTTTCAAAATGGCCATCTACAGCCTCACCCTTTAAAACATGGCCATAACACTTCCAGCCTGACAGATATCTTAAAGGGGCACTTCCGAATTTGAGCTGGAACAGCTTCCAAAAAGTCTTTGTTATGTCTGAGTAACGATTCCCTCTCAAGCAAGGTGCATTCAACTGCTGACAGGCTTCATAAATTAGATGAAATAGCAAGTGAGAAGATTTAAGATTGCCATGATGTATAGCTGTCAGAATTTCTTTCACCACTTTCAACTCAGTGGGCGACTTGGCTATCACAGAAGACAGTAGCTGATGTAGGTACTGGTCACCTTGTTCACTGCAAAAATCAAAGAAAGTGGTTGTAAGTAACCCTTAATTGTACGATGCATTAATAACACTGTGTGACTTTTATTTATTTATTAATTATTATTTTTTTAGTGTTTAAACAGGCAACATATTAATAAATATTAAAGCTGACACCATTATCACAGAATGATTAAACTAGAACACTTGGCGCTCTCGAGTTAAATTCTTAAGCATTTTATATAAGCTTATTTTATCAAAACAATGTGTAAGTGTTTGTGCATTTTAAGTATTTCTTTAAATCTGAGACTGCTTACATATTTTCAATAATGGTATCTGGACTTTCCATAGGTTCCTCTCCAGATAAACTCTGCTTAACATTTTCAAAACAATGTGTTTCTGCTTCAGATACACTCTGCTCAAAATTTTCTCTGAAAATATATTTTAAAAAATGCTCACCATAGCTAAACGACAAACAGCTTTTCATTACTTATACCATTGTGCTAATTTTGTTAAAATGATAAAAGAAGAAAAAGGACATGCCACTTGGCATTCTACAGTAAAAATTGTAAGTAAATTATATTGGTATATTCACTGCAACAATGTATGTCGATCAACCAAATGAAACATTGTGTAAGTGTGTGTGCATTTGCCTTCCTTTTTTCTAAAAAAGAGATTGCTTACATATTTTCTATAACAGTGACATCTGGGCTGTCTATAGGTCGCTCTCCAGAAAAGCTTTGCCCAATATTTTCTCTGAAAATACATAAAAAGCAATTGGAGATATAGTCATTAAAAAAAAAATTAAGCTTTTTAATAAGTACTGATTGGAAATTTTACAATAACCGCTTCTTCATTGCCACTTATGCATATAAGTGAGGCTGTGAATGTACCCTTTGAAAATGCACCCCATCTACCGTATTTCATACAGTTACTAGCACTGATGTAATGTTGTGCAGTATTGATCTAATTTGAATGTTTTGTTAATGTCAATGGGTCAGAAATAGGTATGTACATAACGTATTTATATTATAAGAATGTGCAGTTCAGGATAACATAATATTAAAATTTAATCTACCAAATGGTGATAATACTTACTTGATATGCAAATCTTCAATCCACCCACACTTGTCACAGCAAACTACATCTGTATGATCTGTGCAGACTGATACATCTGGTGAAAATTCAGTACCACATCGCTCACAAACTCCACTGAAGAAACTATCATGTGAGTGTGACACATTGTGGGCATCACTGGTGAATAGCACCTTTGTTAATTTGGGGGGTTTTGGTGCTGAACAAAAATTGTCTGTGTCTGTGTTAGCAATGGGAGGGAGTACTCTCTTTTCATTTGGAGACGCCATGATCAACCTGAAAGTTAACAAAAGTTCACGATCTTTTAGAAAAAGTATAATTCACCCAGCTTTAACCTACACCACAGGAACAATACGGCGTGAAATAACGACAGTAAGAATGGAAATGTATCCGAACATAGGGTCATTCCATATCAACTCATCCAGCGAGGGTACCCTCCGTCAAGAAAGTTGCTGATTTTCACTTATTTTGTAGATATTATAGGGACTAGAAAAAACCTAAAATTTTAGATTGAGATCTCAACTGGTTTCAGAGTTATGACACTCCAAAGTTGGACCCAGCTGAGGGCTTGCTGTGCCTCACATGAATGTAGGTCATGGTGACCTAGTTAAGAAAAACACTATAACAATAGTTCTTCATATCCCATTGCTTTGTAGCTTTCATGACTTTATATTTTAACATTTCAGGAATCCAATGGTCTGAAAATGGTCTGGCATATTTAAAATGCACTTAATTTTTACTTTGAAAAATCCTTGTCATTTTTTCAAAATGACAGACACCCCACCCTTTTAATCTAATTTTTCTCAATGTCTCCAAATGGACAGGTGTTTTTGCTTTATCTCATATTAAAGAGGAGGCTTTGAACTTAAAAGTGAAAGTGTTAAATCAATTTGTATATTTTGGGGACAAAAGTAATAAAACATTAAAAGAAAATATGTGATATGGGCTATTGCATGGTCACTGATCCAGAACAATGTACTATCAAACACCCAAATTTAGAAACCATCTACATTAGTTTACCGGTTATCTTTCAGAATAAATTTCCTATGATGTTGTTATACTGTAAAATACTTTTTGATGTGAATGAAATTGTTTTATGCAGATATTCTTTTAATTATTGACATCTCAGCAATAGACCAGTTTTCATGTCTCCGTGCAGACACCTACTTGTTGTCTCAGGTCATTTAAAATATACTTACAACCTATATAAAAAACCATATCATACATAGGCCCAAACATGTATTGTTTTATTATAAAGCACATGTTTTCTTTTTTTTTGTAGGTCAGAAAAGTTACATGTTTATCATCCAAACCCAATCTAAAGGTGCAAATAATGTCAGAGGCATGCTCTCAAAAATATTCAATGCATGGATTAGAAACAAAGTTTGGTAATTTTTATGGTCCCACATGAAGAAATGTGTATCAAAGTTTCATTGTCCTTGAACCACTTGTCATAAAAATGAATTCATAGTCTAACCCCAAATGTTACTGTCACAAACGGAAAATTTTCAACTGTGAAAGTGTTGTGCTCACTTTCCAAATTCAAAAAGTGCTGATTTCCTTTTTTTATCTAATTTTTACAAATTGTATAAAGTTGTCAAAAACAGCAATGTTCTGTACAGAACAATAATTTTTGCTGCAATTTTAGTTTGTTTGCCACTGAATTTTATAAATACAAATGCAGCATGCTAACAGTAAAAGAAACAGAAAATGAACTATTTTCTATTAGTGGTGCAAAAATTATGTCAGAAATGCCAAACACTATGTATGCATGTTATGTATATGTTTCAGTTGATAGCAAAATACCCTGTGACCTACTGCACTAAGGACTTGGTCAAAAATAACCTTTTTTTTTTTTTTTTTGAACATTTTTCTGGTAAACATAAGTTACATTTGTTTTAACCATGAGGCAAACCCCCTTGAGTTACAGTTTAAATATTTTGAAAGACATCCTTATGTCAACTTTATATCACAATCTCCCATGACTGGATCACTACAAATATTATATCACCTGGAACATCCATTACCAATACATGTCGAGGGTGCAGTACCATTTAGGCTTCTTATATAATGGTACACACATGATAAATATTGCATGTAGAAGTAAATTTGAGACAGCCATGCGTTTTTGTTTAGTTACATCCCTATATGTCCCCGGATCGATACTCCCCCGCACAGGTATATCACCGCACCAATACTCCCCCACACCGCTGTATCGATACGGGGAAGCAATGATGTGGGGGAGTATCGATGTGGGGGGAGTACCAGTGCCCCCAAAAACGGCAATTTTACTGGGGATGTATCGATGCGGGGATCTATTGGTGTGGGATCATATCCATGCACATAATACAGAAAAATTTACTTAGGGGGATTATTGGTGCGGGGGAGTAACGGTTTGGGGGACTATCGGTGTGGGGGAGTAACGGTGCGGGGGAGTATCAACATGACCCCTTTTGTTCTACATACAGGTTATAAAAATTGATTACAATACCATATTCATTCAGTAATATTCTTTATACTACAGCATGTGAAATTCACCTCTATATTAGGTTTGGGTAATATGCAGAATGCTTTGTATAACTATTTACATTAAATGTATTCTAAGGATAACATTTTATCTTACATAATCTACTCACCCAGAATTTTCTTTGGCCAGCAAGCATTTGCTGGGTGCCATTAAATGATATACTTTGCAAAATTATCATCCCTGTTCCTGTCACTGGCAGATTATATAATTATGCAGGGTGGCCAAAGGAAAATTTGTGAGAAGTTCCTTTCATATCATGTGTCATTGGTTAGATTTTTTAATCATCTTTTACTAAATAAAAATAGTTGGAAAAATTTTTTTAGGTTATGTAAGATAAAATAAATATATGTTACAGTTGTACAAAGCATTCTGTATATACATGTAACTATTTTGACACATAAATAAATAGATAAACATGTACATTATAATAAAACAAGTTTGGGGGCATATGCATGATATGGTTATTTATTTAGGTTGTAAATATCATTGAAATGACAAGACACAACAAGTTGGTGTCTGGATGGAGACATGAAAACTGGTCTAATGCTGGGATGTCAATAATTAAAAGAATATCTGCATAAAACAATTTCATTCACATCAAAAAATATTTTACAGTATAACAACATCATAGGAAATTTATTCTGAAAGATAACAGGTAAACTAATGAAGATATTTCTAAATTTAGGTGTTTGATAGTACATTGTTCTGGATCAGTGACCATGCAATAGCCCATATCACATATTTTCTTATAATGTTTTATTACTTTTGTCTCCAAAATATGCAAATTGATTTAACACTTTCACTTTTAAGTTCAAATTTAAGTTTAATATGAGATAAAGCAAAAACACCTGTCCATTTGGAGACATTGAGAAAAATTAGATTAAAAGGGTGGGGTGTCTGTCATTTTGAAAAAATGACAAGGATTTTTCAAAGTAAAAATTAAGTGCATTTTAAATATGCCAGACCATTTTCAGTGTGATAGTTGGATTCCTGAAATGTTAAAATATAGAGTCATGAAAGCTACAAAGCAATGGGATATGAAGAACTATTGTTATAGTGTTTTTCTTAACTAGGTCACCATGACCTACATTCATGTGAGGCACAGCAAGCCCTCAGCTGGGTCCAACTTTGGAGTGTCATAACTCTGAAACCAGTTGAGATCTCAATCTAAAATTTTAGGTTTTTTCTAGTCCCTATAATATCTACAAAATAAGTGAAAATCAGCAACTTTCTTGACGGAGGGTACCCTCGCTGGATGAGTTGATATGGAATGACCCCATACCAAGTTTATATTTCATATCCCCAAGTGATTATCTTGTACCGTTATAAACACATCATATGCTACATACGCCCTTCAAGATAATCGACATCGTATAAAAACAAAGAAAAGTACATAACTGCCCTTATAGCGAACATAACTGGTTTTAACTTTGCCGTGATCAACCCTTTTCCCCCTTTTCGACGCGGAGCCAAGCAGTAGTAAGTACGTTTTAACCTTTGCAGTAATATAAATAGATGCGTATATACTCGCTTAGCTGACCGACGTAACAATTAACAAATAATCATTCGCTTTACTGTTTACATAAAATCATAGAAGTAGAGAACAAACGTTACTTACTGAAATTATTCGATTTTTTCACCGACTACCGTCTGTCGCCATGTGGTTGTATTCATACGACTCCTACTTGACGAAAACGAGGCGCGATACCCGGATGACAGGTAGGCTTACAGAATTTGTGATAGGGTATGATACTCTTTTATGCGATCTGACACACACCTTGAAAACGGGTAGTGTGGTCAGATAAACCGGTTTATACTGGACCCGTAGGTGCCTAGTCTGGTAGTTGGGAAGGCCTGAGCGTCCAGACATCAAGAGTATTCTACAGCCAGTCATAGGTAGGCTTACACCTGAACTATGATTTAATCTGCCTCTTATATTACAGCTGAAAGTAATTATGACAGTTTAATATCTTAAGTCTCTATCAAGAAAAAAAAAAGACGGCCTCAATCCGCCCCTGAACATGTTGCTGGCAATTTGATGAAATCCAGTCCAGTACCAATTAATATTGTACAGGAGTGAACTTACATCAAGATTATTCAATGATACTTGTATAATTATAGGAATAAATGGGAATATTAAATTTAAGTAATAAGACATTTTTGCAAAAGCACATGGAATAATTTTTGTCTATACTAGCTATTTTTGTAATGGGAATTAAATTCAGGCCTAGGGGTATAAGAATATATATATTTTTATCATGCATTCGTAGGAAAAAGGCAGTCGTACTTAGGCGCGTCATCGGAGGAGATAGAATTCAGGATCAGACTTGCTAAGCATACTCTAGATTTCTTGACGAAAAGTTACTTAAAGTGTAAAGCCGGGTCATTGAAAGTCACGACCCCAGGTAAGGTGAAATAAGATCGCATGGATATATACTAACAGTCAATAAAAAACGCACTAGAAAACTTTCTTGTAATTTTTTTTTATCGAGAATCGATTCCAACCATATAAATGGGTACAAATGCACTTGTTTGGTCATAAGAGAGTGGGCTGACTACTATTTCATATTTCACATATTTCACACGAAAACTGTTATTTTCTTAATGTGCCAAATGAACTTAAAATATCATTTGGTAAATAAATGATGCATTTTCATTAACAGTCAGTACTAAGAGCTCCAAATAAGTAAGGGATTATCATAAAATCTTGTTTATGGTGTTAAGCCGATTTTAATTGAAGCAAAATGGGCTCGAGCGCCCTAACACGCTGTCCAGCTTTAACGGCTGCCAGGCTCTAACTGCCAATTATTTTGAATTCACCACGTGAGCTGGCTGACCAATCGGGGGCCTGTTATATGAGTAAAGCCACGATTCCATCTTTTAAATTTAAATGGAACTTAATACTTGATGTATCAAACAATCTATTGCTGGGTAGTGATGATATAATATAGATTTAAATTTTCAATGGCCAAATGTATGATGACTTGTATTATATTTTATTTCTATTTTGGTTAAAGCACAAAGTATAAATCTAACACCGAAGGACATTTTGGGTTTCAGCATTATACATTATATATTAGCCATTCAATTTTGACATCGTCTTACGATGTAAATCATTTGCGGTAAATCGATCATTTCATTTTTTTCTAAATACTTCTCGCATTTTTTAGCTCCCGATCCATGTGACAGTCAACCATGCCAAAATAACGGGACGTGCTCAGCCAGCGAGGACACTGCTATCTGCGCATGTCTGCCTGGTTTTACCGGTGCCACGTGTGACGTAGGTGTGTTCACGTGTACTAGTATGACGTCAGGGTGACACTGTTCCTACTTACTGTGGAACAGATGGGTTTAAACATCTATTGGTTCTACGTCTATATTTTAAACGACTTTAAGAAGATACAGTATAAAGGGAATAACACGCACACACATTCGTTGGCTCTGTTTGAATGTCTAAGAAAATGAACGTGAAGTATATACTGCTCTGGTTGTATGGAAGAATATCATAATGCATTGTAAACACATGTACTTCAAAGATCAGACATTGATTGGTTGCGATAGCATGTCAGGTATTACATATCCATTATGTTTATGTGTTGGTTCATTTCACGTGGCATATAGAATAGTAGTGTATATCAGGTTTTGTCATTATTAGCTGTTATATTAGTTGAATGTTGGAAATGGTTTAATATTACCACAGGCACATTTTACATAGATTGTGTACACTGGTCTTTTCCATACAATATCCAATTTTTTTTTTTTTTTTTTTTTAATATACATTGCTTACTTTTAAGCATATTAGAAAAAAAATTATCACAACCCAATCACGTAGAAATTTTCAACTAGTAGACTTATTAATTAATTAATCAAATATAATTCTTCAACTAATCACGTTCCGTTTAAAATATAACCGCTTCCTATGATGTATTAATGAGACAATACCTAAGAATGAAAATTATCGATAGGAATCTTGTAATAATATATAACGGTGGTAATACCTCTGTTTCAGCGGTTGATCACTGCCGCAGTCAACCATGTCAAAACGGTGCCACCTGTGTGAATGGAACTTCTACATACAGTTGTATTTGCCCGGATAGGTACACTGGAAGTAAAGCCCCCTTTACACTGGACGGCGTCCTTTCTGCGTCCAGTAGCACGGCCCCATTTAAGAGTTAAAAAATTATAATACTTTACGTGCCTACAACTGGTCGATCATTGAGCATTCATTCTTATACAAAATCAATGCTCGTGCCTCCTTATTAAGACCACAGCAATGCCAAATTTCATGATCGCAGAAAGGACGCCGTCCAGTGTAAAGGGGGTATAACTGTGAAATATGTACGTATATTAACTACATATGATTATCTTTAAAACTTATAAAAAAGCAAGTACTTTCGTCATTTCGCCTTATTTGTTGCTACCAACATAAAAGCTGCATTTCATTATTATGGGCCGGTGTTTTTTCTTTTTTTTTTTTTTTTTTTTTTTTTTGGGGGGGGGGGGGGAGTTGTTAAAACAGGGACTTTTTTCGAACACACCAAATCAAGTATCAATTGTGTAATATGTTGTGTGCGATGCGGTTTTCGTAATAGCACATGGCATTACGTGGCACGAACATGCAAAAACACTTGGTATATTATGAAGTTCCTTGCGTTCACGCTATGCGGACCCGGCCATTTTGGACCTTCTGTTGAAGCAGGGGCTTTCATTTAGGGGTTAATGTTGTAAGGGGAGGGGGGGCTTCTTCAAGAAGGAACCGCTATGGCGTGAAAAAGTCTGGAACAATGTAATCCGGGTGACGAGTGTTTGATTTCATAAATCAAAATGCTGCTTCAATCGTATGTTTGATAAAAGATTATCAATAGCCTACAAACCGAATCTGTCACCATTATACATGTGATGCTATTTAGATAGGTGTGTGCATTTTCCGGTGCGTTCATTCGGGGAACAGGGTTTTCTCTTGTTTAAAAATAGAATAAAAAGGAAGTCATGTCACTTTTGAAGTCCTTTGAAGAATAGTCGAATTATATATATGAGTCAAAAAAGTTTTTTTTTTTTCTCTTTTTAAAATATGATTTATTTGAAATAGCAAATAGGAAGTATATTTCAGTGCTATAAAGCTCTGTGTAGCAGTTGGATCATGAAGTGTTCATTATATCACTATGTTCATTTTATTTTTTTCTTACCTGTACATATTTATTGGATATAATACATTTTTTTTTTTTTTTTTTTTTTGTTATAGGGACAACATGTCCTCCTGGTGGTTCTATTACAATTGAGAACACGTCAGTGGCCTTTCAGTACAGCCCAGCAAAAAGCAATTATCCTTCTTGGATGAAAGACTCTCAGCCAACTAACCCCAGCGGTGCAGACCGAGTGTGGTTGTTCAAAGGATATGAAAATAAAGAGATTGCTGTATACGAAACTGTAGAAGACATTACACGTGGCATACAAAGTGCGTCAATTACACTTCCATACAAATGGGCCGGTACAGGACATGTCGTAAACAAAGGCGGTTTGTATTTTCAGCGTTCAAAAACTCAAAATATAGTTAAATATGATATCCAGAAAAGAAACATTACGGCAGAGAACCACTTAAAATCTGTAGACAGTGACAACACATACACTTATCAATGGGGCGGTTACACCACCACTGACTTTGCCGTGGACGAGTACGGACTGTGGTTAGTGTACGGAAACAGGAGTAACAACTGTTACCTGGTCATCGCCAAGATCAACCCAGACACTCTCAACGTGGAGCATTCGTGGGCAACGACCATTCGCAGTGGAAGCGTGGGCAACACTTTCATGAAATGTGGCGTGCTTTACGCCACGAATTCTTACAGTGAAACATCCACGTACATCCGCTATACCTATGACACCAATACTGGAAAACAAAAGTCACTTCCTCTGAACAGGATCCCGTTCAACCAACCTGGTACATACAATACCATGTTAGATTACAATCCCCATGATGGTCTTCTGTATTATGCTGATGACTATCAGGGATATCTTGCCACGTTCCCAATTGTTAAATCAGTGTAGCAAGATCACGTATTCAGAAAAGAAAGCCAAAAAATAAATAGTTGCAACAATAGTTTTGTTTTCAGAAACCTCCCCTTTCCCACGATGCGTGTGTAAGCATGTGTGCGTACGTGCGTGCGTGTGCGTTTGAAAACCGTGGCAGCATGGGTATGTTCTTGGGCAGGTGGTGAATTGACAGATGGGACAATGCACCTATCAATGCACCTATCAATGGGAAGAAAAACGTTTTGCATTTATCTAAGTATATAAAGCTGGATCCAGTCTACCGTGCAATACACTATCCCTGCTTAAATCAACACGGGATTTTAAAATCATGAACAGAAACTTATTTATTTATTTATGTATAATGTGCATAACGTGCTCCTTAAAGATCACGTGTCTAACAGCGTGTGCGTCTACAGCGTACTCCTGTAGACGGTGCGACAAGCCTTCAACACGGGCAACAATTCTGTTTTGTTGGACATTGTCCAATTTATCCTAAAGATTAGTTTCGGAATTGGTCAAGATTATTTAGGAATTGGTTCTCCTCCGCAATGCACATTCCAATTCATGCCACAGGTGCTCAGTGGGATTAATAGTAGGTTTAATATCAGGGCTCAAAGACTTTTTGACTTAAATGATGATCTTATTATAAATGGAAATTAAGCTACTATATGGGGTACATTTGCTGTGATTACGCTGTCCTTCATGTTTTGCGTTAGTCTACATTTTGCTGTACGTGCTTGTAATTTTTTTAATCTGTGCGTTCAACTTTTGCAGGTCTGGTTACGCCCTTGTTATGTGATGAAAGTGTTAATTTTGCAATTAGCTCCTTAGCTTTAAGCTATCTAAATAGAATTGCAGTGTAAAAATTTCAACAAGATGTTGGTGCAATAGCCCTTTACTCTTTGTGGATATTTCCCCCGTCAAAGTTTGTCTATTTGTCTAAAATTATCTTTCAATCTTTACTCTTTTTCCTGTTTTTCCTCAACACGTTTTCTTCCAAGGAAGTAACGCCTGGGCATACGCATGCTTCAAGATACCTTGAGATCAAATTCTGTTATTAATGTTCGCGACCGTGTTTGATCTTAATTGTTTAAATATTGAAATTTAACGTCATTTACAAATACCAATAAAATAACCCCATGAAATAAATGAGATATATTGAAAAATATAAATGCCCACCAATACGAGTTTGATACATGTTATTACCTGGCTTGGGAATTGCAGCAGTGCATAATTAACAGGTTATATTGTTAACGAGCTCTTGGTCAACTACAATGCATTTAAAATGCATCAGCAATTAGTTAGCTTGCCAACTGATGACAGTTAAACTAAAATGCCATCAGCTTTTAATATGATCTAAAACACCTGAGGTGACCGAGATCGCAAATATTGTCACCGAAGTTAGTAAGTCAAGGAAGACCGTCACAGACAAAGAAAGATTGTCAAGGAGTGCTGCAATTTTGGTGAATCCCACGGCAACACACTGAGGCATAAGGAAAATTGCTCAACTCCGTTCAACACAACTTTCTTAAACTATTGTCTGTATGCACCATGCAGCTCAGTTAAGTCTCATAGACCTTTATCCTCATTGCCGTCACAGTACCACCTGACCCAGATATATTGCTTCATTTATGCATATTGAGTGGAGGTTTACTTAAACGCTTTTTTTTTCTACTATTAGATTGTTTTTATAAATGTTTAATGGCGGGGATCGATTAAAACATACATTGGGTCTATTGCCCTTTTATAACATTAACTATGTTATTTCTTTCCATCATAAATAAACAGGGTGTCTGCAAAAAATGTCTTAATTAGCTACTTTTTTGAATTACAAAGCCGCCGATTTTAATTCATAACGAATGTCCGTGTATTTCCATTCCGCCGCTTCCGTTTCATTCAATCAGCGCTGGTCCCTGCAAGTGGTCTTCCAGTAAAGAAGCTTAAACCTCTCGTAGGATCTTTTTAATCCCACAAAAAAGCATAAAAATCTTAAAAGTTAAAATTATAGGCATTCTTCTCAAGAAATCGATGTTATTCAATATAATGAGCGCTCTAGCTTAGTTTTCCATATAGAGAAGCCATAGAATGGTTGAATTTCTGAGGAAGGTTAGATTTCTCACCTGGGTGCGTGGAGGAGATCTCACACACACACACACACACACACACACACATGCACACACACACAAAGCGTATGTTATATTAATGGTAACTATCTGATAAGAAATACAAAATCAAACTCACTGCTGGATTGGATAAAAAAAGCTAGTCGAATGACACGCAGTCAAGAAATATGCTGACTATATTAAAAGAACAAGTAGTCAATGAGGTCACTAAAAGAGGGCAGCAGCAGCCTCTGTACCGGAGACATACATGCAGGAGCGGATCCAAAATTATTTGAAGAGGGGGTGCACAGATGCAAACCCGTTCGCGTGGATATCGGGCCCCTAAAATTTTGATTTTTTAAAGAGCTAACGGTGTCATTTGCCACGATTTAGAACTATAATTCAGCTAGTCAAAATTCTGACCTCAAGAGGGGACCATTGGTAAGATTTTTTCAGAAATTAATGTGGGGGGGGTCGAGCCCCCCCTCCCCCCCTCCCCCCCTAAATCGGCCACTGCATACAGGTAAATGTATAGAGTCCAGAACACGTGGAAGTTGAGAAAAATGTTGAGGAGGTTCACGTGTTATCCCCTTTAAATAGCGCAGTATATTACTCAATGGTCAAACAATTAGCCAAAACATGCTAGACATACATAGCGTCTTGGATACTGAAAACATGTCCTGATTGAACAGTTGACGACCTTTAAGTAGGCCCTACTGTAGATAACCTACTAAATGGTACATACAGGCAAACAGCATTATCTGTGATAAAATTGGGCGACGTGCGGTAGTGGAGCGCTGTGCCCACACTAACAGGTTTTTTTCATAAATATGGCATCTAAAGAGCTCTAGAGGAATGAGATCACATATAAATATATGAACCTGTCCCGCTAGGGTCCCGTGGGGCGTTATTTTAATCGCGGGACTGGAAAGATGTTGAGTCTCCCTTGAAAAGTAGTCTATATCCCAAACACGAAAAAAAGTAAATACAAAAGCGTTAATAAAAGTAGAAATCGATTATAAAGTATCAATAGCACAAGCAAAATTAAAGTCATTTGAGTAAGTCATTATTGTTATGCAATTCAAAAATACATTTTGACGTTTGCACAAAGTTCACAATATCCTTTGGTGTCCATAACAAAAATAATAACCTTGAACTAAATTTCAAATAAAAAAAAATAATCCCGGAAACGATACTGAATGGCTCCATTCTTATCTCGACGGCACATGGTTTATTACGCTCCTACAGTCTTGGTTGAAAAGTAAAACATTTCCCACCTGGAGTGGCCATCTCTCAGGAATTTACCTCTGTGATCTTTATGACTGGTAAGAATTGCTTCATGGCCTGACGCTGAACAAATAAAATAAAAACCAACAAAACCAAAGGAACTCAAAATAACGCAACTAAAGAGTTTTAATTCCTACTATTACGTTAATGCACGCATTATGGTCCGAAAGACAAGTGCAAGTGACAAGTGCACCTCTTCTCCCACTTCTTCCCTTCTTCAACTATTTATCCAACTGCAACACTTCCCTTGCGTTTTTTTTTTCCTTTTTCTATTACATGTAACTCTGTTAAGTTGTCCGTGCGCATCATATAGGGCCTACATATTCATTCCTTCTATTCCGCCTTGTCGTTTGTTTACATTCTAAGGTCACGAGGTGATGCTAAGTATGTCAAGGCTGTATGACGTTATAAGATGGCGGCTCCCTTTACCAGGCTGTTTAGTTACTTGGCAGAGCGATCGTTAAAATTCAGCTAAAACAGGGCTAACTAGCAATAAACTTCACCAAGATACAGAAAGGATCGGGGTGCAACCCGGTCACGTTACAATACCATGGCAATGGCTTCGAAAAAGCTGTGTAACGTCTTCAGTGAGAACTTTTTAACGTGTCATATATGTCTGGAGGAATATAAAGACCCGAGAGTGCTCCCCTGTTACCACACGTTTTGTCTGGAATGTATTGCTGACCATGCAGCCAAGAATGGTGTCCAGAACAAGTTCTCCTGTCCTGTGTGTCGACACGAGGCCCCCGTTCCACCAGGTGGGTTAGAAACTCTCGGGAAAAACTTCTTTCTAAGAAAAGTAACAGACTTCATAAAAAATCAGAAAGCGCCCGAGGGGAGACTTTGTGAGGAATGTAAGCATCAAGAGGCCACTTTCATGTGCCAAGATTGTCTAGAAACCAACCAACTGTGCTCTACATGTCGTGATATTCACGACAACATCCCATTTTGCAGGGGTCATTCATTTGTACCTCTGTCACAAGTCGATTTCTCAGTTAACCCAGCGGACATGCGAGATCAGCTACGTCACGTATTAGATAAATCTCAACAGTGCGATAAACACGACGGCGAGTTGTTGACTTTTTATTGTGAAGAGGATGACACCGTGGCATGTAGAGATTGTATTTTGGAAACTCACAGTAAACATGACTTTAAAAAAGTTGGGGATGTGGTGAAAGTTCAACGAGATCTGATACAAGACAAACTTAAATGTCTAATAACAGAAAAACTGTCTCGTTTTGAAAAGGCAGAAAAAGTCATTGTGGAAACCGAAGACGAGCTGACAAAAAATCAGACAAAAGTTCTTCGCATGGTGGATTCTCAAGAATTAGCTATGACAAAAGAGATAAATGAAAACAGTACAACCATTGAAAGAGAAATCAGTGATTATTATCAACAAATAGAGAAGGACGTACGCCAACAGACAGACGCGTATTTGACCACTGTCAAACAACATTTGGAAACTTATGAAACAAAAGTACAGTCAGATTACGTCGAAATGAAAAGATTTATAATTAATAAAAGCAGCACAATAGCGGCAGAAGTTAAGGCAATCACCGCCACGCAGGTGAAAACTTTAGAAGCTGAGAGGGATAAGCAGGAAATGAGCAAAATTCCCATGCAGAGTCTTCGTGATTTCACTCAACAGCTCACAGACACCGGTTCTGACATCGAAGTTATGACCCACTCTAAAAAACTCCAATCTAGAATTCAGGAGTTAGAGACAGTAGAACCAGTCTTTGATATCAATATCACAGACATAAAATTTACACCAGGGC